GTATTCAAACATTGTTCTTTGATATTTTTCATTCAATAGGACAGGTAGATGCAGTGATAAGAACCGATCAATGGCAATTTTCCATAACGAAAAAATTAAAGTTTGGTTTATTTCTCGCTAATGGACTACGACCGCTAACCAGCAAGGTTTCTGACTCAAGGACACATCATGGTTTCTTTTTGTTTCGATATCTTTTGTGTCTAAACCCATCCGAGCGCCAATGATCTGGGATTCCCAATTAGTGATAAATCCGTAGCGAAGAAAAGTTCGCTGATTTCTTATCATTATTATCATTGCACGTGCTTAACCGTCTTACCGAACGTTCAACATTTCTCGGGATAGGGTGTTTGACACAGGAAGGAAGAGAGCCTGGAGTTAGCCGGGCGACCCGACTGGATACTTATAAGATAGGTAAACCTAATTCGTCTCGCATGAATACCATTTCAAGAACTGGCATGACAAGATAAGTAATCTCATCTACCTCACAACACACCAACAGACACAGCGAACTGTACCTACTTTTCCAGTTATATAGAGCAGCCCCATAGGCTGCCGGTCTCCCGTCCTTCCACCCGACTGACTGGCTTTTACGGGTTCCAACCAAATTCGTGCTGAAACCTATCGAAACTTTTGTCAAGTGTTTGGCTCTAGAGTCCTTTCTAAGCGGTTCTGTGCAAACCTCCTTAATCGACTGCGTGTGGGCTACAACTCTAGCAATAGAAGAATTCAAGAACTTTCACCATCTAAGTTATGTCACTGTGAGCTTCGTCAAAGTGAAAAAGCATAGTGCTTATCATTATCTATTACATACATGTTTTAATTGATCGTCTTTAGATAAATACATTGGATGTATGGTAATGTTCATTTGCAAGCAAGTGTGTGTGGAAGGAGTCGCATTGGTATCAAGGGCTTCAGATGTGTGAGTTTTGTATTCATTCTAGAAAACTGATGCAAGTCTCAAGTTGCGAAAACCTTCGTCTTACGTCTTCGTCGTATCAATGGATTAACCTTGCGACAATGGTAAAGAAAAGAAGGATCTAATCGTAACCGCTATTGTTTTATTTTTATGTAAATTTTTTAACCTGATTTCGTCGCCAAAAATAGTTCATACTCTGGTAAAGTATTTGATGTGGTTTGTTTGAGTAAAACTTTCACGCTTCCGCGTAGTAAGAGCCTTGCACCCACGTGCATTGTTGAACAATCTTCCGGTGGACACCTAATGTTTTCTGCTGTGTCAACTTCCTTGCGCCTCATCGTCTGCTGTGTCAACTTCCTTGCGCCTCATCGGAGGCGATGAATTCTTTCCGCACATCCCCACCTCCCCCATTATGAGTGCTAAGTGTGTCGGTGTGTTAGCATGAATGTTTGAGCGAAAAGCCACGATTCTTTTCCTCAAACCTAGAGCGTTAGGTGTGAAAGGAGTACAGGTGGAATGATGAAAATTCTGATGTTAGGTGATAGGAACTGATAGGTAGTCTTAAACGGCAAAGGTCACATTATTCATTTCGACTTTCCTGTTAACAGTAAAACCCTATCACTTTGGTATATGATTTTGAGCGTGAAAATGTCGAAGATGGTCGGTGACCGGGTCTAACGGCTGACAAGGATAGAGAAAACAAGATACGCTAGGACTAGTCCGTACTTCGGGTTTACAGTGCAACTTTGGAACATTGATACACCAGTCGGGTCGCCCTGCTTACGCCGGCCCCCATTCCTTACATTTACTGAGCAGTTAGAAATGCTCCCCCCCCCCCCACCTGGATTATCCATATCACCACCTTTATAGTAAACATAATTTTTGCGGACAGACAGACGGACGAACATGCAAACCGACACACCGACGCACCGACGAACTTACAAACGACACACCAAGTTTCTGCTTTATAAATGACAGAGAGATGTGGTGGTGGTGTGGGATGCAATGGGATCTGATAAGAATTGATAGCGATGATGAGGGACCGGAAGGCAAGAACTGCTGGCTTTGCTACGCTCTAACAGTAAACACCAACACGCACTTGGCCATGAACATCTATTTGTACGAAAATTTGACAACCCAAATCGGACGTTTGCGATCAAGAACATGTGGCTACACCTAATCTCTAACAATCTTCGTTGCCTACGCAGCAACATGATTCCACGAGTTAAAAGCGTTTATCTGGATCTCTGGAGGCTCATACTATCTTCAAGGTAATCGACGGTGATTTCAACGCCAAAATTGGCCCCAGGAGAACCGCTGTAGAGCTCCACGTGGGGACTCACGGATTGGAATGAAATGGAGTGAACAGAGTGAATGACTGTCTGAGTTTATCGATCCGCACCATCCATGGTTACTTGCATTTCCTGAAGCTCTTTCATTTGCGATGGACATGAGAGTCACTTGGTGGACAACTTCATAATGAGATAGACCACATCATCTTCAAGGGCTTGCCTGAGTGACGTCGCTGTTTTTCCGAAGTTTTACGAAGGATCGGATCATCGTTTTGTTAGATCCTGTTCCTCACAGGAGTAGAGAGAGCTGTGAGGTTTTGAAACGAAGCCACAAGACGTTCATCAACGGGGATCACTTCGCTTCCCTTGCGAGTGGATGCTGAGATTCCGTTTTCGGCAACGTGTAGGAATGTAATCAGTTGGTCGAACAACTTCACGGTAATGCTATTGAAGCAGAGAGTCTTGAGTAGATGAAGTTAAGGGACGACCGTCGATTGTTGAGCGGGTACGCCATCGTGAAATCCCGCGAGCTAACAGGCATTCATCAAGAAACCGAATATGCGAAGCTGTGCAGAGAAGCGTTAGAGAAACATCTGAAAGAGGGAATAGTAGTCGTCATGGACAGAGCCGCCGAAGCCGGATGGAGTATTCGCAAAGCCTAACGCACAAATTACAAGATCAAGATGGCTTGACAGAACAGTTATTGTATCCCGAAGACGCGATACCTGTCGGACAGCAAAGCTTCCACGTCATGGAAAACTAGCAAGACCAAGTTGCTGTACAAGAGGGGTGATCCTACGATTTGGACAACTATCGCCCAATCTACTTGCTGTCTGAGATCTAGAAGCTTTCACATGCGTCATCTTGAACCGGAATGGAAAAATACGAGGTAAAGTACAGCCATGCGAGAGCAGGTTTTGGAGAGGGTTTGGTGCAATTGATCATATCCACACCCTTGCAACTCCCGTTGAAGTATCGCGAAAGTACAAAATGCCGTTATATCTTACGTTCATATCTTGAAGGAGACCTTTGATACTGTCGAGACAAAAATGATAATTTAAAATCTGGGCAACCAAGGTGTTGCTCCTCAATGCATGAGGATGCTTCGTGCACCTAACGACAGCTTCACGACCGTCATTCTACAATGAATCATTATCAAGAAGAGAGAGGGGTCCAGAACCATTTCGCCCAGACTTTTCAGCGCCGCTCTCGAGAATATCATGCGTCATTTATAATGGGAAGGCTCCTGGGAGTATGTATAAGTCGACGCCCGCTATTAACATTGTCTCCGCTTTGCAAGGCATCGTGCAACACCGAACATCAAGCAGGGGAACGAATGCTGGCCGAGTTTGACAACGCCTGTAGAGAGATCGACTTAAGCCTGAATTAAACGAAGATGATGTTTATGAGAAGCAGAGTGGTACCTGATGCTCCTTTTACGCCGAGCGGAACGAGTATCACTGAATGCCCCAGCTATCTGTATCCAGGTGGGAAAGTCAACATTCCGCCATGAACATTCGGCTCCTTGTCGGCACTGTTGTCCTTCCTGCTTTGACGTACACCTCTGTGGCTTGGACTCGACGAAAGCAGGATGAACGAGCTTTCAGCGTTATTCAACGGCTTTGGGAAGGACGATGCTCGGAATTTCCCTATACACGCAGTGAGGAAAGGAATCTTGCCCCGTCCTCTAACGAAGATTAGGGATGCAGTCGCTTACGCCAGGAAGTCGAAAATCAGGCGAGCCGGGTATGTTTCGCGACATCTGGATGATTGTTTTACTAGGACGGTTACTGGCTGGTTCCCTCGGGACGTCTACGAATACCACCGCCGCC